TAAATTGGGATTATTGGGAGCATTATTTTAAATTTCTAAATATCACAACAGAAACATCTTCAGTTCCCCACTTTGAGAGGAGACAGTAGGCATACTCCCCACCCTCTAACAGGAAACTTAATGCCAAAATTAAGCTCTCCATGGGAGATGTTCATGAAAAGACGTGCAAACCTAGAGAAAAATTTATGAGTTTATTTGAGCCAAAATTTTGAGGATATGCCCAGAAGCAAGATCTCAATGGTTTGAGAAAGTGCTCTGAAGAATGGCAGTTTTGCAGCTCATTTTTTACACTTAGAATCAAAGGAAAAACATCATGAAGGTTACATGAAACCCACTGGTGGTAGATTATGGAGGTGGGAGAAAGCAAGGTGGGGATATCTCTAGGATTGCATAAAAAGCAAAATGGAGGAACACATACTTCTTTTACATCGGTGGGTACAGGATAGTTAACATTTACAGTAAATAGAGATGGCATGTGGGCAACATGAAAACAATGAGGCGTTTTGTTGTCTTGTGTTCTGGTGCCAGTGATTGGGCATCTGAGGGGTCTGAAAAAAAAATTACTCTGACATTCCAAAGGTATATTATCCTAGATCAGGGGTCGGAAAACTTTTGAGACGGAAGAGCTGCCAGGGGTCAGCAAACTGCGGCTCACGAGCCACATGCAGATCTTTGGGTATGTACATGTGGCTCTGAAGTAAAATTGAAAATGAAAATAAAACTATCATAGTTTCATTTATAAAATTTTTAAAGGATGTTATTCACATAATGGTGAATATTTATGGCTCTCGAATAATTTCTAAATTGTTGTGAGGGATAGGATTGGCTCTTGAGGAGTTGGCAAATTTTTGAGATGGAACATACGTACCCAAAAAGCCGCATGTGGCTCGTGAGCTGCAGTTTGCCGACCCCTGTCTTAGATGCATAAGAACAATGGACAGGGCTTGCTTATGGTGAAGACTGACCTTTGCTAAGGAAGCTATAGGCCTGGGAGGTGACCTGCTCAGTTAGGAATTTCTGATCAGACCAGCCTGTGTGGTGACTTGTGGTCAAGGAGTGCATCAGGCCTGCCACCCCTGAGCTCAGTCACCCCTGATCTTGTCAGGTTTATTACATAGCCCCTTTTTCGTTCACCGAGATTTCTCCCCGAGGTTTAAGTTCACATGTTGGGAAATTCCAAAGAGCTGGCACAGACTGAGAGCATCCTGAGGTGAAGTTAAAATTTTCTCTATTTTCTCAGGTACCACTACATTTCTGCCATGTTGCGTTGCTGACATTAGCAACTTGATTCTGGCTGAGTTCAAGCGCCCCATGTGTCAGGAGGACACTGTCATCGAGAGGCCTTGCCGTCACTTCTGTTCCAATTGCATTCTGCCCTGGCTAAGCAAGCCAAATTCGGGCCCCTTGTGCTGCTTTGAGTTGCCGACTGGAGACGACATGCCCGAGGAGCACAGATGAGAGGGGCTCCTCCCTCAGCCGCAGCACCACTCGGGGAAGCTCCGTGGGGAAGGCGCACATGTGGTGGCTGTGGCTGAGTGTCAGCCCTCCATGACACCTTTCTCTTGCCGCTTAAGCCCTCATCAAAGGTTTCTTTGCCCCCACTCCCCGTAGTCCCCCACAGAAAGCCATGCACTCAGTTCTGGGCACAGGGTTGAGAATATGCTCGTGTTTCTAAGTTTTGCTCATGTGGAGCTGGGGCCATAGTATTCTGTGTCCTAATTATACTGATTGAAAAAGAGGGACCCAGGAGCTACTTGAGGATGGAGTAAATCAACTTGGGAGGGGCTCACATTTCAGGGGGAAAGACCAGGATGCAGCCAGCCCCCTGCCCGCAGGCATAACAGCCTTGCCCCTTGACCCCAGGAACACTCCCCATGCTAGTGGCTCTCCACCCTCCTCATCCTTAGGAGGTTGGAGATCTCACCACAGTCCCTCTCCTGCCCCACCTCAAAGGTATGGAGATGTGGCTCCCCCAGGCCAGGGAGAGGATGGAGACTCGGGTGCCTAACCCCTACCCACACTTGGGGAGCTGAAGTTAAAGGGAGAGAGTGGGTACCTTCCCTTTCCCTTCCCATCCAGACCTTGTTCTACCAAACAGCTGGATCAACAGAAAGAGCACTCTCTCAGCCCATCCTGAGAGGTCACAGTGTTTTTTCAGGTGAGGAGGCCCAGCAGAGCCCTGGCAGCCCGTTGGGGGGAAGCAGAGAACTGACCTGTGGGAATGGATATTCTTTAGGAAGGGGGGTGTCTAGGCAAGTGGACGTATCTAGATTTTTTTGGAGTGAGACCTCCTAGCTAAGAATGAGCAGAATAAGAAATTGAGAAGCGAAGAATTTTGGACTTTTATTTTCTTGCATTTTAATTTAAAAGAAAGCGTATTTAAATTTTGTTCTTTGTTACTTTTGAAATTAGGAGAGGGTACTTATTCAAATTTAGGGCATTTTTTGGTTGCTAGTGTTGAATTATTTGATATTTTGTGCTGCCAGGTAGTAGTTATTTTGTAACCTGCAGGTGAGCTGAGCTGAGCTGATTGGAGAGAACAAACAGAGTTTAGGGCACAGCACAGTCTTAGAGTTGTGTCCTATTTGTACCCAATTCAGAGGCCTTGGGGGGCAACCATAAACTGGCCACCTTACTGATTCCAGAAGAATATACAAAGAATAGTGGTGAGAACCTGTTACTTCATTTTTTTCATCTGAAAATGGGGATAACAAATTTTTGGTCTCTTGTAAGGATTATATGTGTAAAGCATTTGGAAGCCTATTTCCACATTTCCTATTTGGAAATATATTTCTTATTTGCTCCTGCCACATAGTAGAAGCTATAAAAATTAATGGGCTTTATGATATGGCCACTTTCTTAGGTCACAAAGGGCCAAATATCTGCAAAGTGGGAGACTGCTCTGATGCACGGCTGGTCCCCTCTCCTCCCTCCAGCTGCACCTGTGGTTGATCACTGACCACAAGCCAACGCTTTAACCCCAAAGGGTTGAACAAAGAGAAGGTAGCTCTGTTTTGGGGACTCTTCCTCTTAGATGTCCCCTCTTCACAAGAGGAGCAGGTTGGAGGGAACACTTTCCAGTCTACCTTTCCATTCCTAGCTTACTCTCCCCTGGGGAAGAGTAGGTGATCTTACAGGTGAGAGCCTGACTGTGGCTTCGCCAGCCCTGTCTCTGTTCAGTCCGTGAATCAGGCGGGGATGGGGTAGGGGATGAGGAGAGAGTAGAGGGCCCCTGCAGCCTGAGGTCTCCTAATCAGCTTGAACAGAAAGCCCTGCATTTTGAGTTTATAGCACATCTGTCCAGCCATTAGTAGAGTGGATACTTTGCTTTGATCTCCAGTAGGTAATGACCTTCATGTAATTTTCTGCATTGGTCTGAACTAGAGGGTTAGAAGGATGAGTTAGGGTTTTTAATCTCCAAAACACTTCAGTTTTCCTAATTTAATTTTCTTAAAGAAACTCCCCCTCCGGTTCTTTCCTGAACTCCACAATCTTCCACCATTTCCCCTCTGTCATTTTGGCAAGAATTTTTGCCTTGCCTCAAATTGTAGCTTAAGAAAGACCCATAAAAGAGCTTTCCATGTAGGTTGGTGGAGTTGTAAGTGTGTCCTTGCATTAGAGAGAAAAGTGGATAAACGAGGGAAAGTGGACAGGTGGAAACTTTCTATACCAGGAGAAAGCAAAGGAAGGAAGGAAATTATTGTGTCTGTTTCCTTTCTGAACACACTTCCAGGTTTTCCTAGGCCAGGACAGTGCTAGCCTGCAGTAGTTCAGTCACTGCTGATCTCCTGGGTACATCTTTTTATCTGTGTTGGGGATAGGACAGTAGAGATCAGAGGTGGCTCCTGAGTTGGAAAAACTCGGTTTTTCAGTTGTGAATCTTTATGCTCACACAGAACACTTCTGTTCACCAAATGTTTCCCACCCCCACCTGCCACTAAGCAATTCTGCAACACCATATGAGTGTCCTACAATTTTTTTTAAAAAGATTTTATTGGGGAATTGGGGGAGGGGGACAGACAAGTTGCTGTCCTTTGGTTCTTCAGTCTAGTTGTGGAGGACGTTGCTTCACTGGCCCATGTTGGTATTATCATTGTGCTCTTCCTGGGTGAGGCAGTTGCTCGCCAGCCATTGGACGGCCGCTCACGGCAGCTCACAGCAGCTTACGCCAGCTCATGCCCGCTGCCAGCCAGCCCCACTGCAGCCTACGCCTTCACGGTCGACTCATGGCAGCCCAGCTCCAGACAGATCTGTTCTTCACCATCTTAGCTGTAGAGGGTGCAGCGTCACTGGCCCTCATGTGGGATCTGAACCAGGGCTCTGCTGCTCAGAGCTGGTGTCCCAAGCCAACTCCCAAGCAACGTGCCATTCAGCCGCCCCGGGTATCCTACAATTTAACTCAATTCTGACACCAGCTATCTGTGTCAGATCCCACAGGTTAAGGGCTCAGTCTCACAAGACTACCCCTCTCCACTTCAGATGCCAGTCACAAGTTGTAGGTCCTCAAATTACCCACAACTTCTGATTTGTAGCCAAATTGGAGGTTCCCACGACACCCTCCTCAGATCCTATTAATTTGCTAGAGCGGCCCACAGAACTCACATTTACAAGTTTATTAAAGGTTGTGATAAAGGATACAGGTAAACAGCCAGATGAAGAGATACATAGGGTGATGTCTGGGAGGGTCCCGAGAGCAGGAACTTCTGTCCCCGTGAACTTGGGGGTGTGTCACACTCCTGGTATGTGGATGTGTTCACCAACTTGGAAGCTCTCTGAACGCCATACTTTTGGGATTTTATGGAGGCTTCCTCACATAGGCGTGATCAGTTATTTACTCCATTTCCAGATCATCTCCCTTCTGATGTCAGGAGTGGCACTGAAAATTCCGTGCTTCTATTCATGGCTTGGTCTTTCTGGTGACCAGTCCCCATCCAGGAGCCCACTCAGAGTTGCCTCATTAGAACAAAAGATGCTCTTATCACTTAGGAAATTACAAAGGTTTCAGGAGCTCTGTGCCAGGAACTGGGGGCAGAGACTAATACACACATTTTCTCTTATCTCATAGCTCCCTTACAGCCATCCAATCTGCCCTTGAATGCACATACTTCCCTCCATTTGTAAGAGAGAAAGAGATTTTATTTTCTCATGCTTTTCTTTCCCCACTGAGTCCCATATGCCTTTACAGTGAAGACTGGCCAGGGTTGGAGGCTGGTTGGCACATACTAGGTAGATGAGTCCAGCACAATATAAGTACTTGGATGTTTGTTGAATGAGTAAATGGGAGTCATCCACCCTGAGACGAAGCTGAGGCCCTGGCAAATGAGGGTGTAGAGGAAGATAGATGGCGCAGGGTGGGACCCTGGGAGCACTGAGTGTGCAGCTAGAAAACGCGCTAGGAAAGGAAATGGGAACTTGGAGAACCAGGAGAGTGCGGTGTCATGGAAGGTCAGTGAGGAGAAAGTTTTTAGAAGGAGTAATTGTGTCCAGTTCTACAGAGAGAGTGAAGACAGTCGGGACTGGGAAACAGTCACAGACTGTTGGGGATGTGGAAACTTGAACAGGTTTGTAAACTGAAGAGGAGGAGAGGTTTAAAGTCAAAGGGGTGGGGTAACTAAGGAAGAATCCTAGTAGAGTGGGGGGCCTCTGTCCTTCTTTCCTGCCCCAACAGACATCACAGAGCCAGGCTTGGGATGCAATGCTTTAATAATGAACGTGAGGGGCTAAGAGATGGTGGTCGGGGTGGGCCGTGTGTGGGTTCTGTAGCCACTTCCCATGGCCCAGCCTGGGATATGGGCGTCCTCATCATCAGGGCCTCATGACTTCAGAGGCACGGGAGAAAAAGCTTTTCAGATAGTTCATAGTTTCTTTCACCATTTTGTCCAGATTCTTCCTGATTTTATGGTCAAGGTTGGCCAGTTTTTCCTCTAAGGTGGTTGCTGAGGAATATTGGGAGAGAAATGTTAGGGTAAGGCTAGTCCCCCCACCTCCCCCCACACTCCAGTAATTTCCTTCTACAGGGCTGGCACAGGAGATCAACGGATTCTCTGAATATCATTTACCTTTAATTCTTACTTCCCCCTGCCGCTTCCTTTCTCCTTCTAACCCCATCTATTTCTCCTAAGGAAGCATGCAACCCTTGCTTTTTTCTGCTCAGTGCCTTCCCAGGCTTTTCCCCTCTTCCCTGGCTCCTACCAGCCCCGGGAGTGAGTTCTATCATCTCTTCTGATTGAAGTGCAGCATTTCTGAAACTGTCCTCCTGGGCTGTGGGGTGAAGCAGCTCAGGCGTTTGATTCTTTAGTCTCCTGATGGATTCGATCACAGCCTCCTTTATGGAAACCGGCACTTCTCTGGAGATAGCAGTCTCCTCAGCAAGGTCCTCACTGGAGACCAGATCATTCCTGGGGTGGCTGCTGGGGATGAACTCGGCAGCTGAGACCAAGAGATGGAGCAAGGGAGGGGCAGAGAAAGAGCTCATGGTAAGAAGCTGCCAGCCAGCACTGTGGAGGGTATCAGGGTTAAGTCACTGCCCAATTCGTGTAGACCAGGGTTGAGGTCCCATACCAGCATCCAAATCTATGAGCACCTGAAAGGCACATCCCTGATTTTGAATGCCCCTGAATAAGAATTCTACTTCTAGCAAATTTGCCTTCCCAGTGAAAAGAGATTAACTATGTAAACACCAGTCCCATTGTCTGGTGCATAGCAGAGGTTCAATAAATATTGGTTCTTTTCCTCTGAGTCTGCCTCTCTAGCTCCTCACAGGTAAGGGAAGTTAGCCTGAGATTAAAGCATGTTTACAGATAATCCACAAAGCAGAATTCTGCAATGTCCACGGCTTTTGGGATGTGGGGGTAGGTAGCCTGGGACCCATGAGCCCCTCCAGCAGCTTCACCTCAGAGGTGAGCTGAAACTCCTTACCTGCTAGCACTTAGGGATGAGACGTAGTCCCCACTCCCATCTCCAATGACTACCCATCATGAAATGCTGTTCATTGTTCCTGATCTTGACCAGTTAGTATAGCAGGAAAGATTAAGGTCCAACACCAGGAGGGGTTGTCTTTGCTCCCCTTCCTCTTCAGATGGAGAACTCATCATTGACAGGACAATTTGTTACCACCACCAACTTACTCTAAAGAATGCCAGCGTGAGACTTATGGGCATCTGTGGTCTGAGCCTCCAAGTGGATTTCATTTTTTTTTTCTCTGAAAACAAAGGGGTTAAAGTCTCCAGAGGCCTGAAGACATCTAACACGTGAGAGGCTCCTATGCCACCCCTCCTGCCCAGCATTCTCCATCTCCCTTACCCTCTTTTAGATTTTTCTTAGCACTTCTAACACCATGTAATTTAGTATTAGTGTTTGTTTCTTCCTCTTAGAATGTATGGGTAAATTCAGTGATGACCAAAGTCTCTGTCTATTTTGTTAATGTAGCCCAAACACCTAGAACTATGTGTCTAGCACAGAGTAGGTGCTTAATAAAAAGCTGCTGAGTGAATGTGAGTGTGTGTCTTGCCCTTATTGTACAGAGGGAGGCAGTGAGGTCTGAAGAAGGGTAGTGACTCTGCCAGGGCTGTACAGCATCATTAGAGGCTGTATTCTTGTCTGAATCTCTGTTGACCCACCGTCTTCCCTGATTTGGGCCCAGTTTGGCCCCTCTGCCCCCAGCCCCAGGCTTTCTAGGGTGCAGGATTTCAGAAGCCATTTGCCTAGTCCCCTGCCTCCATACTTCAGTTATCCCAGGTATGAACTTTGGTTTTGCATCTCCCCACCTCTCCACATGGCACATTACAAGCGTTAAGGAAAGGCCTTCCTAGTGCTGAGGTCACTCCAGCTGACAGCTCAATGAGCTCTAGGAGACAGAGGGGAGTGCAAGGGAAGCCAGACTCACCATTAAGGACAGCGAGACAGGTGGAGGCCAAGCTGGCCAGCAGCAGGATAGGGAAGAATTTCATAGTGGATCTGTGGCAGGGTCTGTTTTCCCTAGGGAGCTGTTGCTGACGAGGCAGCCTGGCAAGATCTTTATTTATTTTGGGATAGGGAGGGGTCTGGGGAACCTGGTTCAGGATTGGATCTGGGACCATTCCAGGTCCCCTTCCCCCTGCCTCCCCACAAGTTCCCTATTCTGAAAACATTTGTTTTTGGGAACTGGAGCTTCTGGGAAACCAGTTAACAGGAAAGTGAGGCCCCATCATTCCCCCTGGCCCAGGCCATGCCAAGGGTGTGCCAGCCCCAGGCTCCATCTCTGGAAGTCCTTGGAATAATTGGGTGTGGTTTCCTTTCTTTATGGTACTCATTACCATGAATAATTTTATTTATATTTGTCATCATTTAATTAATATTGTTCTCCTTCAGGAGAATGGAACTTCCATGAGGGCTAAGATGATATGTTTTGCCTATCACTGCTTTTCCAGCACCTAGAAAGGAGCTGGCACATAGTAAGGGCCCGAAATATAATAGTTTGGTGCATGAATAAAGTAAGGGCAGGTGGTCCTCCAGACTACATATAAAAGCTCTTCATCGTGTCAGGAATAAGGAACCAGGCAGTTAGAGGAAGTCCAGCTACACGCCATGCACTGTCACAAATTTGTTCATATGAAGTGTTTTATTTAATTCACGATGGTTGTGAGGTATGTGCTATTTATCAAGCAAACAAACTGATGTTCACAGAGGTGAGGTGACTTGCACAAGGTCACACAACTTGGTGGATTTGAACCCAGGCTAGTCTAACTTCAAACCCTATGCCTTTCACATCCAGGGTCCAGGGGTCTAGAAGTGGACTAGGTGGAGCAGTGGGACGCCCAGAGAGGCTCTTGAGGAGAGAGGAGGTGGAGGATGCGCTAGGACTTGGCCCTGAGCCTAGGGACTGAACTAGCTGATCTCTTCTGCCCTCCTCCAGCTAAAAGTTTTGATGATGTCTCCAGAACCTGGCTTTCGATCATCTTTAAGAAGGAGACAACTGCTGCACTGTGTGACTGTCTTGCCTGTCCTCAGCAGGGAGCATGGCTTGTTGGGCGTGTGGGGTCCCACTGGGTAAGCTCCCACTTGTAGACCACAGAGAGCTCTGAGCGGGACCAACCCAGGTGAGGCCTTCTCCTCCTTCCCACAGCGAGAGGGAGGAGCCCGGGCGCTGGCAATCACCCTCCAATTGCTCTAGTGCTTTTTCCTTAAGCCAGCAGTGAAGTGAAGGAAGGAAGTGTGTCTTTGGCTGCCTCCCACCTCCCCTTCCTCCTGGATTTCCTTCTCTTCCTGCAACCTCCCCTCCTACAGCCCAAGGGCACTTGAGGAACAAGCAAGGACAGAGGAGGGCATTCATATCGAGTCCTCAGCCCTCCAGGGTTATTTCCTAATACCCCTAATAATTCACAAGTTTAGGCCTCCAGACCAGGGTATTTTGGTAATTTCTCATGACTCTTCTGGCCTTCAGTCTGTCTCCACTACAGTCCTCTGTGCTAATGCTGGAGGAATCTCCTGAAGTTCATGCCACAGCTCTACTCAGATGTCTTTAATGACCATCCATTACCCATACAAAAGTCCAAGCTCCTTGGCCATGTGTTCAAGGCCCTCCATCTTTCAGACCTCATCTCTTGCCTCTGTGAATTACTGCCGATTCACTGTAGTGTTATATTTGTGTTCACGCTGGTCCTCTGTCAGGAGTGTGCTTTCCTCTTCATCTTCCTGCTGTGTTCCAACATCATAACCCACATTAGATGTTACCTCCTCTTTCACCATCCTACCCGCCTCAGTTAGTCACCTCATCTCTGCGGTCCCACAACACATTGTTCACATCCTTATCTTTTCATTATTACATCCCACTACTACTTACTGAGTGTCTGCTATTTTTTAAGTTTTGGGGATATAATGGTGAGCAAGATTGCCTGGCCCTGGCCTTCTGTTTTTCATTGTCTAGCATTCATTATACTCTGTTGTAATTCTGTTTAAATCTATTGCTCCTACTGGTCAATTACCATTTTGAGGGTAAGAGCCACAGTTTTTTAATCTCTGTATCCCAATTGATTTAGCACAGATCTTAACACTTGCTAAGTGCTCCAGTTTGGTAAATTGAATGAGCCAATTTGCCTGTTCAAAGTTGGCTCCTGGGGGATATGTTTACCCTTAGTGAGGAAGGAGGGACCTCTGAAAGAATTTCTTCAACACTTAAATATTCCAACAAGGTGGTATTGAGTATCTACTTACCATATACCAGAAATGACATGGGTACTGGAACTTCAACACTGAACAAAATGGACCTGGTCCCTGCTCTCCCAGGTAGGGTTGTCAGGTAAAATGCAAACCACCCAGTTCAATGTGAATTTCAGATAAGCAGTGAATAAATTTTTTAGTATAAGTATGTCTGAAATATGTCTGACAAATTTGCTTATTGTTTATCTGAAATTCACATTGAACTGGGCATTCCGTGTTTTGTTTGCTAAATATAATAATCCTACCCCAGTGTTCCAGAGCAGCCTCCACACACTGCCATCTGTCCCTCCAAGAGCCCAGCCTCCACCTGTGTGCTCAGCTCCCCACCTGTGTAGTGGAAAGATGAACTAAAGAGGTGTCCAAGTGTCACTCCTATTGTTCCTTTCTGAGAAAAGAGATCACAGTGGTTCTTTGCAGACGAGTTCTAGACATTAGGTGAAGATGACCCTGTTACTCTGGCCATTTCTTTTTGGTGAGAAAGCCTGGGTCTTATCCAGAGGCAACCATCAACAGGCTGGACATAGGACAAGCAATGGCTTCTGAGGAGGCCTGGGTGAGAGACCTGTCCATTTCTGGTGCTCCATTTTATTTTATTTTATTATTATTTTTTAAAGATTTTTTAAATTTTATTAGGGAATTGGGGGAAGGGGAACAGACAAGTTGCTGTCCTTTTGTTCTTCAGTCTAGTTGTGGAGGACGTTGCT